CTATTATTTTATATTGCATTATATTTTCAAGCTAGAAAAATGAAGTTTTTACACAAAAAAGAAATGTTTTAAGCGCTGATTTCTGTATAAATAATTCTGTGTAAATCGTTATTTTTGAGTTATGTCACTCTTGTTGCATATGAGCGATATGTAAAGTATATAAGTATACAATCCTATATTATCTCTAAGTTTGTATAGTATGTTAAGAAAGGCTTATTTTTGAATAAATATTAATTTTAAAAGAAAGAATAATGGAATCGTGTGCCAATAATTGTTTTCATATGTATACATTATGTACAAAGTGAATATATATATACATACATATGTATTATACACACAAATTTACTATACTTTCATAAATAATCATGCTATTTAGCCATCTCTTAGAGATGTCCAATTTATAAAAAAAAATTGGTTTTGGTATTCATATAATAAAAGTTGAAAAATTAATAATCCTTAAAAATTCGTGCTTTTATTTATTTAAAAAAAAAAAGAAATGGAATAGATATAAGATATTCTAAGACAATGTATGTATATATGTATGTTTGTTTATCTTTGAAGATAAGTAAAAAAAAAATTTTTTGTTAATGGTACTTCAATATATTTTTTATGATCATAATTGGGTCTTTTTACATGATGACGTGATCATATTTGAACAGCAAAATTTTATTAAATAATAATTCATCTCGTTCATTTTTTTTTGCCTTTAAAATTTCAAATATGTGTCTAATGGAATTAAAACTAGTTGTGATCGGAAAATTGTTATTATATACATATAATATAATAGTAAAATAATTGAATTTACTATGTTGCATACTAGTTTTAAAAATATTATTCTAGTTTATATGGTAGAAAGGAATTTAAATACATGCTATACATGCTATTATTTCAAATTATATTTAATATATTTTATATAATAAAATTGATGACAAATTAAGTATATTTTGAAAGGAATTGTGTGCCAGTATCAGAATAAAAAAAATAGAGAAGATAAAAGTTGAATAATATATAGAAATTTAATGTTGAATTTTACTACAAGATTGCCTGTTTGAAGGAAACAAGAACTTGAAATTGATGAAAAATTATTTAAGATTTTGAAATTAAATCGTTTCGTATAAAAAGTATCTAGAAATTTAAATAGAATACTCTACTATACCTACTAATACAACATTGCAAAGAATCAATTCTTTAACTTTTAAGAAAATTAACTAGCATACAGTAATATTGAATGCAAACAACCTTAGTTTTAACATATTGTACATGTAAGAACAATTTTCTAAAGTTCTTTTTGCAAACTATACAATATTATGTCTTAATCATAAAATCAACTACAAAATTATCAAATACAATAGTTAAATTTTAAACAATATTTACAAACAAAATATTATAGTAATTACAATTTGATTGAACAATTAATACAATTTCTAGAGTACAAAATTTTCATTCTCAAATTTTCTACGTCTTTATAACTGCGAACACATCATCCTTACACATATAGAGACTCAATATACAATTTCCATATATATAAATACATCAATACATATAACTTTTTTAGTATTTAATATTTAATTTTAAAATTTTATAACATTTAATTATCAAAATTTTCAAAAAAAAAAAAAACATTAGTAATTATTGTAAATTTAATCAACAGAGAAATAAAAGATTCAAAATCATGACTTTGATAAAAACAATTTTCACGTTTAACACGAATTTAAAATAAAAATTGTAAAATTTTATAAGTTTAAATACCTATACATATTATATATCGTGCATTTTAATCATAATAAATAAATGTTATAAAAAGATTTACGCGTATGTCACGATTAATTAATTTTATTTTTGTTCTTTTTTAAATTTGGCTCAATATCGGATTATCAATAAAGTTAAATTTGAATTTAATGGAAATATTTAAATTGAAAAAATTTAATAAAACGGAAGTAATATAGGTACTTAATAATAATAATTTTCGTATTAAACTTATTAGAATTTTATAGTTCAGCCACGATCAAATTTTTAGTAGATGAAATTATAAAATTCTTTTAAACTTATTCTTTTATATCTAATTCTAATTAAACTTAAATTATGTAGAATTTCTTGATAAAATTAGTGTTCTAGCTCTTTTGGAGTTGGTATCATGTCATATTACCAAACAATTTCCTTGATTACTCAAAACTAACCTAAAAATAAAAATTTATTAAATCAAAAATTTTAGATATTTAATAAGTAATTTTTAATGCGTATTATCACAATTTTTTATTATTCTGCAATCAACAGTATTAATTCATTCTTTTTAGGCTCCAAGTTTCTTTACTTGACTTCTCCTGTAACAATTACAATTTTAACAATATTTTTATCTTTTCCAATCTAAAACGAAAAAAAAAGAGAAATAAAATTTATTGTATATAATCAAATGTAATAAAGAAATTGTAAAAGAAAAAAAACAAAAATTTTTTTTTTCTTTTCTAACTTGTAAAAATTTTTGGAATTAATCTGACACAGATTAATTTGAACAAACAATTAAATTGGATGTTTTGTTAAGATTTTATCACAAAATTATTCTAGCATTTATTTTTGAAAAAAAAAACTACTTGTCAGTCTGAATTATTTGCTTTTTTTCTTCGTGTTTTTTTTCTTCTTATTTTTCCTAATTTTTTTTTCCTTTTAATCGATACGGCTTAAATTGATTTTAAAAACATTTCAACTGTTTAATTGTTTAATAGAAAAATAAATAGGAAAAAAAGTGAATATAGAAACACACTTTTTTATTAACTTATAAAATGAATAGCAAAAAATAATAAAAACACTTTAATTTTTCTATTTAATTTTTTGACAACGTTTATTTTTTTTGTTTTACGGAATTGAAAATTTTTTTAATAGTTTTTTTGAATATTCAAGTTTTTCACAACAGATGGCAATATAATCAAAGGTAAATTTATATGCGTTCCATTTACATGTTCAAGATACTTATGAATTTAATTGCTTAATTTGTAAATGAACAACTAAACAGATCATCTCTAATATAGTTTATTTTTAATTTTAGCTACTCATGAGGAATTTGAGCTCGTTAATGAAACGATTATGAATTTTATTATAAAACTCTAAAAATGCAACAAATAAATTTATTTCTATTATATTAAATTATATTTTGTTATTATATATTTTAATTATATTTCGATTTCATTGATTATATTTGCAATACATATTGAAATTCGCAAATGATAGAATAAAATTTAGAATTTTGATTTTAAATTAAAATATGAAAATCTCAAAACGCCACTTCAACTATTTCGGTTAATATTTACTAAGCTATTTAATGTACTGAAAATTTCAAATGTCATTTTACGCTTTCTCTTCCATACACATATATGTACTGTTACTGTACATTCGTTCAAAGAGAGGAAGAAATGTTTTGTTTGAGGCAGAGACGGATTTTAAATAAAATTTAAGCTTAACAACTTATTAAACTATGTAAATGAAAATATCACTTATAATTTATCATTACATTACTAATATCTGTATAATCTGTATAATCAGTAACTACTGTCAAAAATTTGAAATAAACATATATTCAATATCACATTTATTTAACCAATAATATATGAATTTTTCATTACTCCTAAAAAAAAAGAATATTTCGAAATATATTAAATTCACAATATCAATTTTAAAATTATTTTTAAACATTAAAATATTACAAGTGTCAAAAATTAGTATGTTACCTTTCAAATATCCGGTGTCATTCTATGACAAAACAAATATTCAACATTCTGCAATGACATATTAAATAAAAAAATATTATGAAAAATAACCATAATTTATTTTTAAACTAGATTTCCATATTAAATACAAATAAATCAATTTCAATTTTTATTTTCAAAATCATTTTTACACATTTTAATATAATCAATAAATTTATATTTATTAAAATATAAAAAATTTATTTTTAACCGAAATTGATAAATCATAAAATATGTAGTTTACGATACCTTTATTACAATGTACTAATTGAACATTAAATATGATAATTAATTAATAATTCAGTGAAATTGCCTACGCATATTATTTGCAACCACTGCATAAGTACGTACCATTTTTTTGCTAATTTTATATATGTGGTGAAAACTTTGTGTGTTCAACTGGATTACAAAGTGAATAGTACTGCAATAAAAACTATTAATTAAATTCAATAAAAAATTTTATTGACATAATTAACTTATGTTTTAAATTTGAATATTTAGTTTATCAAACTTGTAAAATTCTTATGCACATTTTACATTTATGTATGTATGTGTATGAAAATTCAGAAATAAAATTAATAATTTCAATAAAATTTGTTTTATTTTACAAGTTGTTCTATTCGTTTATATACGAGAATAATAAATTAATTATTTATTTTTAATAAAAGTATGCAAAATTTTTTATTGTATTTTTTATAGTAGTTTAAAAAAAAAAGAAAAATTATTTGATTTTTATGTAGGTACCGTTAATCTATAATGATTACAGTAGTTGAAATTTTTATGTTAGATTGTCAACATTTTAAAATTGAAAAGCAAAATTTGCATTTATGATTTTTAAAAATTTTTCAGAAATAACAAAAATTTATTTCATTTGTAAAAAGCAACTTTAGAAAAATTGCAGTTTTAATTGGCTGATTAATATCAAAATTTCTGTTTCATATTTAGAGTCGTTAAAATTAGCTTACTCCGCTTTTTTGTATTCTGGAGGACAATTCCTTGAATCTTGTTGGCTAAACCTAAAAGTGAAGAAACGCTTATCAAATTTGAATGATTAAATAATAGAAATGAATTGTGAATTCAAGCAAATTTATTCTACTTGATAGGTGTAGGGGAATATGACGGTCAGAATGTGTCTAATTTCAAGTTAAATTTTAGTAATTAATTGATGTTTTAAAAACCAATGCTACAAGTTCCAATTTAAAATTTTTATGTTTTCGTAATGCAAATTCATTAAATTTTTATTTTTTTTTTTTTGTTTTACAGGAGGATGATGGTAGAACCGCACTTCATGAAGCGGCTACAATTGGTGATGAAAAAACTCTTCAAACTTTATTAAATGCTGGGGCGAATCGAAATGCCAAAGATAGAAAACATGCAAATACACCATTACATGAAGCTGCCTGGAGGGGTTTTAGTCGAAGTGTAAAACTTTTATGCTCTTTACCACCATTACCAAAAAGTGTTAAACAAAAAAATGGTGTAAATGAATCACGTGGCGCATTACATAGCACATTGTTGGGAACTCGAAATGGTGGAGGATTTTCAGCGCTTCATTTAGCCTCGCAAAATGGCCATAATCAAAGTTGTCGTGAAATATTGTTAGCTGGAGCAGATCCTGATGTGCAAAATAATGTAATTTACATTCATATATACATACATATATTTTTTTAAATAATTTTTATTAAACAAGTAATTTAATATTTATTTTATTTTTGGTTTTTTCTTTATTTTATTTTAGTATGGTGATACTCCGTTACATACTGCTTGTAGATATGGACACGCTGGAGCTACAAGAATACTAATTTCAGCTAAATGTGATCCAAATAGAACAAATTTAAATGGCGATACAGCTTTACATATAGCATGTGCAATGGGCCGAAGAAAACTTACAAGAATTCTTCTGGAAGCTGGGGCAAATCCTGACATAAAAAATGCTCAAAATGAGACTCCAAACGATATAGCATTTAGAAAAAAATTAACAGAAATAATTGAAATTTTAAGTAGTCCTATAGAAGTTAAGCATGTGAAAACGGAACGGGACAGAAGTAGTAGCAATAGTAAAAGTAATAAAGACAGAACTGATGGTAAATCAATTTGTCCTGATAAATCCAAAAATCAACGTTCAGATTTAGTCGCGAACCCAGTTAATTGGTCACCTTATGGATGTCATTATTTTCCAGATCCGAGATCATTTCCTGCACCAAAATTAGATACATTACCAAAAGAACCCCTAAATGCTGGTGAGCAATATTTTTTAGATTTAGCTGGAAATATTCGCAAAGGTCCCGTTGGTGTTGGAAACACTTGTTATTGTGGGCCATTTTTCAGGCATATTGAAGAAAGAATCAGTAAAAACAGAAAAAGTCTCAAAAAATATGTTCATAAAGCTACTGAACGTCTCGATAATAAAGTACAAGCTTTAGCCTTAAAAACTGATGATCAAATTGAACAACTTACAAAATCTATGTTAGCAGATAGGATAAGATGTGATGGACGTCGTTTACATTTAGAGCAATGGTTAAAACGGGGTGACCCACATAGATTGACGACGGGTGGTCATCATTCCAAATCTAGGAAGAACGCTGAAAATGCTAACACGTTGACACGTTGTAAAAGCTTGGAACTTTTAGGAGAACATCAGGAAAATTTTAGCAAAATGCCAAATTCAAAAAGTGTTGAAATTTTGGATGAAACACAAATAATAATACATCGTGACGCTGATCATCAACAATCTAACGAAAATATTCATAATTCTTTAATTAATAACCGAAAAATGAATCAAAATAGTTCGGAGAGAAGTCGAAGTAGTGGTGATCGAATGGAATCAGGACATCTGTTTAGTAAGACTGGACCTCAGAATGTTTCCCAAAGATTAGAGCAGTTATTAGCTAAAACAAACGAAATTTTAGAAATGGAGAAAAAAGCTCGTCGACGAAACAAGGAAGCTCTTATTCCAGTTGGTCCCAACATTGTAAACTCTTCAAAAAAGAAAGTTGGAAAAAATTGTACCTCTTTATATAACCCTGACATTACAGAGAAATTAAAACATTTGAATTTAAATAATCCTTCGCAAAATTCTCAAATCAAATATCCTAATTTAAATAATTCGAATAAAAATCAGGAGTATATTGAAAATGCAATGAAAAAAATAACTTCTTCACTTGCTAATGAGACAGACGAGGCTATGAAATTTGGCGATGGAACAAGTAAATCATTTAGTCCAGATGTAGATATTAAAGATTTTCCTATAAGCCAAAAAGAACTGGACAGAAAATGTGATCAGGAACATGAAAAATCTAGTATCTTAAGCAGTAGCTCACATAAAAATCCAAGCTCTATTGGGAGTGGGTATATACCGGACTTTAGTCAAACATACAATAATCAGTTACGTGTTAGTCGAAATAGCAAGTCTGGAACTAGTGATAACTCACATTCTAGTAAATTAACAGCTACCCAAGCAACACACGAACCTAACACAGATATTCTTGAAAATCCTATAATTAAACCAAAGGAAGGAGGCGACGTTGCTAATAGAAAATTCAAAAATCTTATATCAGCTTTAAAGAAAGATTATCATTCTACAAAAGATGCTATCGAATCACAAATCAGGGCACAATCTATAGAAAATGCATCATCTGAGGAAGAAGATGAGGATGAAGATGAACTGTCTATAGATCATTATGAAAATGAAGAACTTCATAATTTGGAAAGTTGTAGTGAGGACGATGGTGATGTTGATGGCAGCGACTACAGACATCGTGATCATTTTTATAACCCGAATGAATTAAGTGAAATTGATTCCAAAGCTTTAAATTTAGGTTTCTTTAAAAATGATTCATTTCAAGATGTTATATGTCAACCTATAGATTCAGTTTCTTCTGAAAATCAACATCGTACTACACAATTTGGGCTTGCAGACGAAACATCGCCTGAATCAACAAAGACTAATCAATTAAATGAATTCAAGAAAAGACTGTCAAGTGGTTCGAACTGGAAAAGCCAGATGTTAAGAAAAACTCAACAGATTTTAAATTTAAATGGATTTGGTAATGAAAATGTCAACGAAGATCCCAAAAATAGTACAAATGGAATAGTGAAAAAAATTGAAATAAGAAATAGTGAAATAAAAACTCTTAAACCCAATCCAACAGGAGCATTAAAGCGATCTAAAGTTCAAGAACTTGTAGCCAAAATACAAGGTAAAGACTCACAATATATAGCTGAATCACAAAAGAATGGGCATACAGATGAAAATGACGAAAATTTTGAAACGGATCATATTTATCAGCGTTTACCTTCTGCTTACAACTCTAGTGAAAAAAAAGATAATCCTAATTTTAAGTCTGATTACAATTGTGGAAAACCTCATTTTCAAGAGCAAGCTCAACAGAACTCTACTCAACATTTTGTTCATTTACAATCAAATTTTGAAAATAATTTAAGGATGTCAAATTCTGGTGAATTTAACTATAATCCTAGAACCATAATACCCAAAGATGCTTATTTTCATGAATTACCAAATAAAAATCACTTACGTCCAATATGTGATAAACTTCCTGAAAAGCAATTATTAAATTTTTCATCTAACAGTCCTCGCACAGCTGCTATAAATGATAACTATATTCACAATGTAAGTCCAACATTATTAGCAAGCAGAACAAGAAATCCTCTACCATATAATATGACAACTGGTGATTATTCAAATATTTCCCAAATTGGACAAGATTTATGTATAGAAAAATCTTCTTACCGTAATTATACAAATTTGTTACCAACAGAGCGTACTATAAATCCAATTGTAACCCATATACATCAACATAAACAAAATATGGCTATACCAATGCCCGCTGTTAGACATTTTATTAATCACCAACATAACCAGCAACCTGATAAATTAATAGGTATTAAAAAATTTGTACTCTCATCACCATCCTTTGATTGTGATTACAATCCAAATTCAAATTATGGTCAGACACATTCATCTGAGCAACATCTACAATCCCAAGCAAAGCAACATCAGCATTTATCAGTATCAACTGATATAATTACCCCTGAACAAGCTCAATTTGAACGTGATTTAAGTAATGATTCTGGTTTTAGTACAAAAATTGGTGGAAGTTCTTTAGGACCCAGTCCAAGTCTATCTGGTAATAATGACTATTCAATAATTCAAAGAAACGGAAGTACATCAATATTACACAATCATTCCAATGTTGCTTTAATTAATAATAAAACTAATAATTCAAATTTAGATGGTACCAATAATATCCAATGTTATATTGGAAACACATCCAGTTTGGTATGAAACAGAAAACTATTTTAAAAACACAACATGGGTACATTTTAGTTTTACAAGTGACAAAATTTGAATCCTATAAATTGTAAATATTTTTAAGAAAAGTAATTGTAAATAGAATGTTAACTATTGTTAAATATTTTTTATTATTTTCAATAAGTCATGTAATTAATTTAGTTTTTATTGAATATTTTTCTTATTTATAAAATTTTTCAATATTATTGAAAATAAAATATCAATTTATCGTTAAATAGACATTTAATTTTTATTTTAGTTCTAATTATTTTCTAAATTGCGATGTGATTCAGCAAAATATTAAGTTTGTGCTTTAATATTAAAAATACTAAGAAAAAAAACAATTTATTCTTTTGGAATAATTTATTAACTAAATTTCATTGTTTTATAATTTTATAAAGCTGAATGAGCTAACTTATTTAGAATGATTATCCAAACGATATATTCATTCTAAACAGTCTATTTTAATATTTTCTTTAAAATAGATTTCACCAAAATAGGTCTGTAGAAAATTCGAATATACTTAACAAACACGAAAAACAAGTTTTTTTTTCTCAGTAATATTGGAAATAAAATACTATAGTAAAGTAAATTAATCAACATCAGCACAAGCTTCTCGTAAGCTTCTCTCAAAAACTTTATGAGTATCAACGAAACCTTTCTTTGTTTTACCAAATGAATTGGGCCCAGACGAAGTTGGTGTATCACGTCCTATATTGCGCATACGCATTCTACATTCAGCTGGCATTTCCTCTGTTTCATCATCGCTGTCAATATTAAATGCACTTGCAACCGTAATTTTAGGTTTTGTTTCAGTTTTTGTTTTTGGTGCCATTAATTTCATTTGTATACCAGGCTAAAAATTTAATTAACAGAAAATTAGTGTTTTTAAATTATAAATTTTTAAAATTTTCGTTACTTTTGCGGAAGATCCAGGTTTTCCAAAATGAATTAAAGTTTTTAGATTTGTTGGAGGAGGTGGAGCTTCTGGTATTTTCCCTTCAAAAACATTCAGTGAAATTTTCGCTGATGGATTAAAATTACCACCAGTTGTCTGTTCACTTTCTTTGCCATTTGAGTGATTTGATGATGAATTATTCCGATTTTCTTGAATATTCAAACAATATTCAATAAAAGAATTCTAATAAAAGAAAATTATTTCAAATATAATAAAGATAAAATCCCACCACTACTGTAATCCCAATTTCCACGACTACATTCTTTTTCACTTAGTGCATCATCTCTTTTCCTTGAGTTCTCTGAATAACGTCTGACTGGAGATCTTGAACGAGATCGACTTCTTGTTCTACTTCGTGATCGCTCTTTTGAACGTTCATATGAACGTTTTTTACGATAGCGATGATGACGTCCATGATCATTAGATGATCTAGATGAATTAGATGAACTACTGGAAATTGACTCCCAACCAGGTGATGAACTGCCCGTGGAAGAGACAGGTGATGTGCCTGGTAATTTTAATTACTGGCAAAATTAAAAATTTGTTTCAAACGAAAAAAAATATCATAAAAAAAGAATATCTGGACGAAAAAATCAAATTTACAAAACTTTACAAGTTGTGTACTTATGTTGCTTGGAATCACCTACTTATGCATACCTACCTACCCACAATGTGTAGGACATTTTCAAAAAAAAAAAAAAAAAAAAAAAGGGAAAACAAAAACCAAGTTCAAAATAAAAAAAATAAAAGGGGCGGAAGTAAAGATTGATTTTTCAAGTTGAGCTAGATTAAAGCAAAATTTTGGAAATAAAAGCTATCACATTGCTGTATAGCGAAAAATAATCATTCAAAATTTTTATATAAAAATTGTAAATATTTACTAAATTTTCTATTTCTAGAATTTTAGTTATTTGATGTTGGTCACAATGTCTGTCAAAATAGTAGTGTGTCTTCATTCCATTAGAAGTTCGCCATTTTAATTTTTCTCAATCAAAAAATATATTTATTTTAAGGTTTCTTTTAAAATTGTTTGTTGGATTAATTGCTTACCTTCAATAAGGTTATCTTCCTTCAAACGGTAACTCATTTTCCTTTATTAATTTAAACAATATTAACAAAATTTTACTTTAAAAAAAATTACTTTCAGAAAGCCGAATCATAAAATATTTTCACTTCTAAAAATCTGTCTAGCCTTGCCTTTGATTTGACATTTTGACAGTTTAGTCAAATATCTAGGCATCTAGGGAAAATACTGGACAGTGCTACCAGTTTTGAAAAATCGAAACAGAAACAAAGTAGAAGTGAAATATGAATCATTTCAGTTTCGTATTTCGTCACTTGAGACGGAAATCATTAAATCGATTGACATTTTTTCAAAATATGGAAAAATCATTTTCCGTTAAAGTTGAAAAAAGCAATATTGAAGAAAAATTAGAAAACATAAAACATGGACCTGGATTAAAAGAATTTTTAATAGTTGGTAAAAATTTTCCAGTTGTTAATACAAACAATCAACTAAAAGATAATTCGATACCATATATTGATCCACAAGAATATTCTGGTAAAGGAAGAAAAGTGTATTTTGAAGTTTATGGTTGCCAAATGAATGTCAATGATACTGAAATTATATGGTCCATTTTAAATAAAAATGATTATGAAAAATGTAATGATGTTAAAATAGCTGACGTCATATTAATTGTAACCTGTTCCATAAGAGAAGGCGCTGAGAAAAAGATTTGGAATCGTTTAAAGCATTTACAAGCCATAAAAAACAATCGCTCTGTAAAGAAAGGTCCATTACAAATTGGCATACTTGGTAAAAAATTTAAGCATTATTATTTTAAAAATTTAACTTACTTTTTAACCAGCTTTTAGTAATTGCTACTTTATAGACTATCTAAGAACTTTAACTTTTCCTAAAAATTTTTCGAAAATTCAATTTAATCCAACCTATTTTTAATTTCTTAAACAAATAATTAAATGGTATAATTTTAGGTTGTATGGCTGAACGATTAAAAACAGAAGTTCTTGAAAAAGAAAAATGGGTGGATATTGTAGCAGGACCTGATAGTTATAAAGATTTGCCTAGACTATTGGCTGTTACAAAAAATGGACAGTCTGCTGTAAATGTTCTATTATCACTAGATGAAACTTACGCTGATATTATGCCTGTTCGTTTAAATAAGGATTCAGTTACAGCGTATGTTTCAATAATGAGAGGTTGTGATAATATGTGTTCATATTGTATAGTACCATTTACTAGAGGAAGAGAGAGATCTAGACCATTATCATCAATTGAAGATGAAGTAAAACATTTAGCTAAAAATGGATGTCGAGAAATCACCCTTCTAGGTCAAAACGTAAATAGTTATAGATTCATGTCAAATGAAGTCAAAGTAAATAAAGATGAAAAAACTAAATTAGCTGAAGGATTTAAAACAGTATATAAGCCGAAAATTGGGGGAATTCGTTTTGCAGAGTTATTAGAATGTGAGTTCATTTTTATAATAAATTGATATCGTATTTGCATATTAAAATTATTAATAAATTTTTGCAGGTGTCGCTGAAACTGTTCCTGAAGTTCGAATACGATTTACATCACCACATCCCAAAGATTTTCCTGATGATGTTTTGTATGCTATTAAAAAATATCCAAATATATGTAAAAGTATTCACTTACCAGCACAGTCTGGTAATACAGCAGTTTTAGATCGAATGCGAAGAGGTTATAGTAGAGAATCCTATATACAATTAGTTCATCATATAAGAGATTTAATACCCGAAATTTCTTTATCAAGTGATTTTATATGTGGTTTTTGTGGAGAAACTAATGAAGAATTTTCTGATACTTTAACTTTAATAGAACAAATTAAATATAATATTGCATATTTATTTGCGTATAGTATGCGAGAAAAAACTACTGCTCATCGTCGTTATAAAGATGATGTTCCACAAAATATAAAAATTGATAGATTACAAGAAATGGTTAAAGTTTTTCGAAAAGGTGCTGAAGAATTACAATCGAAATTTGTAAATAAACAAGAATTAATATTAATTGAAGGTAAAAGTAAACGTTCTGAGGAATTTTATTATGGAAGAAATGATGCAAATATTAAAGTTATTGTACCAAATATTAATTTACCAGATCAAAACAATTACAGAATAGATGAAAATTCGAATGAAGAAAATAAAAAAAAAGTTTTGCCTGGTGATTTTATTGCAGTTAAAATAATTGATTCTAATTCACAAGTTTTAAAAGGGGAACCATTGTATAAAACGACATTACAAAAATATTATGAAAATTATCAAAATTTATAGTTTGTTGTATTTAATTAATAATGTTGTAGAATAATAAATATGAAATAAAATAATTAAGTTTAATTGAAATATCAACAATTTTAAGAAGTAAATAGCTAAAATAAATTTTCAGTCTTGTCTTATCTCACAGAATTTCTTTTTTCTAAATTTTTCATTTATTATATTTTATCTCAATGGTTAACTAACTACAAAAAATTAAACTCACTTTACTTATTCAAGCAATAAAATTAACTTCAAAAATTTTCCTTTAAAAAAAGCAAAACATTATGTTATGAGAATCAATTCAATTTAGATATTAAGAAAACATGCTTTTAAATATTTGAAAACATGCCATATCGTATTTTTTTCAATTCATATATTAAAAATATGTATCTTTGGCTATGAAACTATGAAATTAAAAAACACAAGACCCTTATCCTTTGTGATTTTCGTCCCCACCCTAAATAATCATTGTGGATTTTCGTTTATGCACGCTGCACTGAAAGTTCTATATTAGAACTAAAATTTCTAAACCCCAGCCGTTAAAGAGTATACAAAAACTTCAGCTAAGTTTTTTTTTTTGTTTACGCAGTCTACAAATTCTGAAACTTCTAAATAATCAATTGTTGGAAAATAACAGAAATAACATTGTTTATGAAATTAAAATTTTTTCTGAATTTTAAATTAAAAAAAAGAAATTTCATGCGGCAATTCATTCAAAATTTAAACTAGAGGTCAAAATTTAAACATTTCTTTATTACAGATTGAATTTTCGAAAGCATTTTATTACAGTCAGTAATTTCCGAACGATATATATTTTCAGTGTACGTAGCGTGAATTTTCGAACGTACTACAACCTAAAAGTATTCTAGAATTGAATAAACAAAAACCCCCATTTAGCATTATATCTAGACCCTTGACAAAACACAGAACAACAAGCATTTGAAGCCGCGAGACTTTTATCGGGTTCACAAGTCCTCTACCGAAACATCTTAGTCGTAAACGAGTTACCGATTTGCATTCAGACAACATGTGCATATTATAACAATTGCTATTAATTTAATCTTATTTTTTTCAAACTTAATAATTTCGATTAAATTTCAATATTAGTTAAATTTATAATTTGTTTTTTTTTTTTTTATTATTAAAGTTGTTATAAGTACAAAACATGATTAATAAAATAATTAACTAAAGTTTTGTATAAAATGAAACAAATGACTTCCGATTGATTGTTTAGATTAAAAAGCTTTCAATCATGGGCAATATAAAATTTTAAAGTTTTTTTTGAAATCTAATAAAATAATTAATATCATTTTTCTAGAATCTATAAATTTCTTTTTTTTTTTTTGTTTTGTTTTCTTTAATTTTCTTTTCAACCATTTACAAATGTTTTTTTTTTTCCATTTTTCTTTTTAAATAATTTAAAGATGATAAAAAAATTGCACAAAATAATTTTACAAAATATTGAAGGAAGATTTTAATGTTTTTGTTTCTTTTTTTCTTTTTTTTTGTTACATTATTATTTTGTTTCTGATAATAATTTAAAAAAAAAATATGATAAACGAATTCTTATTTAAAGCTAATATATCTATATATATATATTTTTTTTGTGATTTTAAAATTTTTTCTAAATAGTTATTTTCTATACAAAACTATCTTTCTCCATTTAATAATAATAATGTACATATAAAAGAATACATAATGTATTTTATATACATAATAATATAGATTTCCATAAAATTTTATTATATATATATATATATATTTTTTATATATAATTCTCTTAATTATATTTCTTACAATATTTCATGCGATAATAAAATTTTTTAATTAAACTTTTGAATGATTAAAATTATTATTTAACTTATTCAAAAGTGAAATGAAAATGAATAATTAATTTGTTTTTCAAATTTAGAAAAACTTTTTTTTGTTTGTAATTGAACAATATTGAATGATATACAACATAGAAATCTAAAATAATTCAATAAATTCGGCTTAAAAATTAAATGTTATTGGCTTCTTTGGAAAATTCATCAAAAATTTGAACAAGATTTTCAACACCAAATAAATAATTGGTATCAAGCGTTAAATCATCGGTGTTATTAAAAAATGCATGTGCGAAATCTATCATTTTAACATGTGACCAAGATTTATTATTAATTTCATCATTTTCTATTAATAAACAATCCCTTTTTGGATTATGATCATGATTATCACTATCACTATCATCACTATTATCATTATCATCTTCATTATCATCAAAATATAAATGATAACCATTTGTTATTCTTTTACTAGTTATCTAAAAATCAAAAAAAAAAAAACAAAAAATACAATAAAATATATTACCAAAGAATTTAAAATAATAAATGTAAATTATTACCATTTCAATTTTATTTTGTGCTTTTAAACCATTTTTATAAGATTCTTGTTCATTGGGATTATTTTCATTTTCATTCTTTTCAACAAAACCATTATTACTACTAATGAATTCGTGCTTAATTTTATTGTTAATATGGGACGGTAGTATATCTTCATTTGGGATACTATTATTTGTCCTGAAACTACAAAATAAAATTTTAGTAAATATATTTTTTTTTTTTTTTTTAATTATAAACATTACTTGTTAGCAAAACCTTTTTCCAGGTATTGCTTCAGTCTTTTGGAATCATAAACTAGTAAAATAGAACTTGAATATAATTTTAGAGATGTTTGAGTGCTTGACCATTTTAGAATTGATTTTAATTGCTTGTATATATCATCAACTAATGGTTGACAAATACCCGCATCAAAATTTAAAAACAGCCTTAATGTCTCTTTAAATGTATGTGGGGTTAATTTTTTACCAAATTCTTTACCAAAACGTTTTAATTTTCCATCTGTTATTGAATGAATTTGAAAACCTGGTATACATAGACCTAAATTATTTTTACATGCTGCATATTTTTCTCTTTCAACAGCAATTTTTTCTGGTGTTGCTAATGGATCCCATGTACGTTTACCAACTTTAATATCCATAATACATGGTTCTTTCATATTATGTGTTAAATCAGCAAGTTTTACGAAGTCCAACTATAAATTTGAAATTATTAAAATTTTATTATAAATTAATTATTACAATAAAATTTTTAAAATATTTAATTTACCTCTCTCCCATTTATATTTATTTTTGTATGTCCTTTATATTCAGCAGTAAAATTTTTTAATTTTGATATTATCGGATTATCTGATCCATAAACTGTTTCATAAAAAGCTATTTCACGTGCACCACATTCTGGTTTACCTAATGGTTTTAAAACTGAAGCATCTTCTTTTAATTTTAATAAGCCAACCGAATTTTCACCCCAAGTATGACCAGCAACTTGAGTATCTAATGGAACAGTTCCAGGTGGTATATGAAAGATATTTTCAGTTGCCATTTTGTTTTGTGTTTTTATTAATTTACAATTTTGTTGTTATGAATTCTTTTGTTCTCTTTTTTGTCGATTTCAAACTTTTAAAAGTGATATTGAATAAATTGTAAAGCACACAAATTTAATATTTTATTTGTAGCTTTTAAAATAAATTATATAACTAATTCGATATTACATTCGCTTTGTGTTAAAGGCTTGTCATGTCCTGTAATAATAATAAAAAAAAAGAATAATAAAAAATTATTTTAATTTTCAAAATTAATATTTCTAAATTATTTATTTATTTTGAATTCAAGTTAAACACTTCATACTTATTTATGAAAATTTTGGGATGTTATGCGAATGATATTTGATTTACTTAATTATTTTCTACTTTTAATAGTTTACAATAATTATATTTTAAAAAGAATGCTGATGAAGACAACCAGATAAAGCACCTGCAATGGTACTTAACAACTTTTTTTATAACAAAGTCTTTGACAATTCTTAAACTTTTCAATGGTATGCAAATATTATTCAGTTCCTAATTTATTTTCTACTTTAAAAATTCATAAGAATACTAATTTTTCAATAACACACGAACATTTTCAACTTTTTGCATTTATTTTCAAAAAAAATTACATAATTTATTTATAAATTTTCTCTTAAAATTAAAAAAATGCTTAAGGTTTCAATAGTAGCATCAGCGAAAAATTTACTTCAAAATACAATTACATTTATCTTTGAAATTTCTTTATTTTTTATATATAAATTATTAAAATAAAAATAACAAAAACAATAATTAAAAATTTATTTTATTTAAGAGTAATTTGACAAAATTTTAAATTTATTTTTATAATATTTTTACATTTTTTTTTTTATCAATTAATAGTTGTGTTTTTCGTTTTTCTTTTTACTTATATAATAATAATGCAAATAACTTTCAAACTCAATAGAAATAAAAAACACAGAGAATTCAAATTATTCTCATTATATTGACCATCATAAATTAACATTCAAATGATTTTCTTCTTAATGATTTGAATATTTATAGAATCCTTCACCAGATTTTCGGCCAAATTTCTTTTCATCACTTAATTTTTCAACCAATTTAATTGGTTTAAATAATGGATTATCAGGATATTTTTCATTCCAACCATGTAATATAAATCTTTGTGTATCTAAACCAATATAATCAGCTAATTCAATTGGTCCCATTGGATGACCTGCTCCCAATTTCATAGCTGTATCAATATCACGTGCTGATGCATCACCACGTTCTAACATACGTATTGCTTCAGCTAAATATGGAACTAATAAACGATTTACAACAAATCCGGGTGTATCTTTACATGTAATACATGTTTTTCCCATTGATTCACCAACAGCTAATACAGTTTTATGTGTATCATCTGTTGTATCAGGAAGACGTACAACCTCTAATAATTTCATTACTTGAACTGGATGAAAGAAATGCATACCAGCAAAACGATCCTTTCTTTTTGATGCTTGTGCAATATCTGTTATTGACAATGATGATGTATTACTTGTCATTATTGCATGTTCCGGTGCCAACTAAAATAATTACAATAAAATTTTTACAAATTATTATAAAAATATATATATAAAAAAAATAATAAATCTTAAATGTTCAAACCTTTTCAATTTGTTCAAATAATTCATGTTTTTTTTGTAGATTCTCAACAATAGCTTCAATAACAAAATCAGTCTTTTTGACGCCATCTTTTAAATCTGATGTACCTTCAATTTGTTTAAAGATACTTTCAGCATATTTTTGTTGAGCATCTTCATTATCCTTAAAACGGCGACGTCCAGCGCGTAATAATCCTTTTTTAATATTATTTTGTGATTTTGCTAAAACTTCTTGATTTAATTCAACTAATGAAACCTTATAACCAGATGCTGCAGCTACCTAAAATAAATAATACAATATATTCAAATCAATGGAATAATGTATACAAGATAATGCAAAAGAATATATTTAATTATTAATAGCACACATTTGAAGAAATTTCAAATTTTGAAAACTAAATTGAATAAATAAATTTTTTTTACAATTTTAAATTAAGTATCTATTTAATTACATAACAGCATTACATAATCTGTTAATCAATATACTGTCAACTATATGAAATTAATTTACCAATAAACCAAAAACTATCAATAAGCAACCGCAAATTTTATTTGTAAATAATTGTAAAACACAAATTTCTTAAACCATTCCACTTTTAAAGAAATAAATTACAGATTATAAATAATTCATTTAGTTCAATAACACATTAATATTGAATTTATCAATTTCTTCTAATTTAAATATTGCAAAAATAAGTAATCAAAATGAAATGTTTATTGGGATGTCGTGTAAAATATTCAAAATTAGGTAGAATTTGAATGAAATATGAAAATACTAAATATTTTTAAATAAAATATTGAAATATTAATAATAATTAAGAAAAATTAAGTATTTATAACAAGAAAAATGAAAAATAATTAAATGCTTTCATAAACCTTAACTTGTATCTTCAAATGACAAACCACAAATATAATACGTTCAGCACAGAATGATAAATTCAGTTGGCAACTCCATAACACTTCCATTTCTTTTTGCAATTTACTTGATTTTATGAAAAATTTTTAATGTTTTAATGATCGAAAAATGAATTACTAAAATGTTTTTCTTAATTCTCTATCTGATTGATCGTAAATCACCTTGAAATTGATTAAATGAATTTATTGATAAAATATTGTTTACAATATTTCAATTTTTTTTTTAAAGCTGGCGCTTAAATACAATAAAACAAAATAAATAAATATTTTATTACACAACTATTATAAATTTAAGTGATTAAAACTGGTCCGGCAGTAACTGAATAAAATATTAGAAAAATTATAAAAATTCAAGTGTGATGGTGGTTGTTTCTCTTTCTCTTTCGGATTTCTTTTCAGAGAGCGTCACTTTTATATTTATTATTCACAATTTAAATAATTTTTTAATTGTGAATAATTAGAATTTGAATTGTAAATAAGTTAAGCTTGGAATTTTTATTTATTCTAAATTTAGTAATTCGTAATTATGCGCTTATTGAATTCTAATTAATGTTATAAAAATTTATTTTATTCAAATTGTTTTAGCTACCGTTTATGATAGTAAGTATATATAATTAAAATTTAACAAATTCGATTTTCCATTTCGTTAAACTGAGTCACAGTATGAAGGAATCAGATATAAGAGCCATGTATAATAATAGGTTTACTACGTAAATGCTTAAATTACTTAAAATAAATTCGAGTTGATAATTTCGAACCATACAAGTACTTATTCAATATTCTCTCAACCACCTATGTACATATTTCAAATAATTTTTTTTATTTTAATTTTTTCGTCTATGCCTCTATGATATAGCAAATTAGACTATATTTTATGTTTAGTTAGCATAATATATTTTATTCTTTTAAATTTAAATATTAAATTATAAAATCACAAAATATATAGCACATATAATATTGTGAAAAAAACGGATAATAATCATAAGACTTCATTTAAAAATCACATGAATTGGAAATTCTATAGCAGTTAAGTAATATGAAACTTACATACATATATGATTATTTTGTGCCCCCCCACCCAAAATAACAAATTAATAATAAGTAAATAATTAAACTTCTCTCTCTCTCTCTATTTATGTATATAGCTACGTGTAGCTATGTGTATGTTTATAATTAACAAATAATCTAAGTAAGTAATAAATGTACATTTCTTTTATTTTTAATTTGATAAAACGGTTAAGGTTAAAGCTAATTTTAAATTCGAAATCAGAGAAAAGAAAAACGAACAAACAAACAAACTAACAAAATATTTATTTTCTTTATCAAATATTTATAAATTTCGAATTTGCTAATATAACAGTAAGTATTTAAGTAATTAAGTACATAATATTTTGTTGTTATTAAATGAAAATATTTACACATTAATGAGCAAAATATGCATTACAATAGACGTAGATCTTAAATGAAATCATTTACTAAGTATGTGTATCTGTACACTAATAAAATTGTGAATTGAATTTTTCTTATTATCATTCAAAATTGCATATTAATTTTCAAAAATAATAAATAACTTAGTTATAATAAAATATTACTTAAATTTTGTAAATATTTGCTCTAATAATTTTCAATATTCTAGTTATTTAATAATCTTCAATTTAAATATATTAGATATTTAAATATATACTTAAGATGTTAATGTTAGTTTTTTAAAATAGAAAAATAAACTAGCAAATTTAATTTTAAAGTATACATTTTTTATAGGAGATCATTTTGCTTTTGAGTGCTTTTATGAAATGTCAAAATTTTACACGTGATTTTTTACAGTTGTCCACGCCATCTCAAATTAGTTCTGTTTGATTTATCATGTTCAACAATTTCGAAAATACAATTTTATTAAAATATTGAAATTAGGGACTTTAATTAGAAAAAAAAAGAGTATAACAATTTTCAAAATGTTCTGTATAATTGAGAATTTTATAAGCCGAGAACAAATTTTTGATCATTCGGCTATGTTTAATAAATGAGACCTCTATACTCATATCTGTTCTATGTACTAAAGATTTGAAATAAGCTGTTTGAAATTAGTACCTGTTGCCTGATTATTCTGCTAATTTGAAAAACTCGTGTTGTTAATCACGTAAGCATCATGTTTATTTGTTTGTCCAAAAAAAAACCAAAAAAAAAAAATAATTAAAATTTGACAAAAAATTTTTTATCTTATCCCTGACACATGTAAGAAAAATTACGGTCACACGTTTTATATTGTATTTGAAAAACACGCGTTATTTTCATTCGAGAGCAGCACACTTTTACTTCTTTTATAATTTTTTCATTATAAAATTATATAAGCTAAAAATAATTAAATCTTAAGTATGTTCGAATATATCGAGTTTTCATTCTGTTCATTGTGTTCAAAATTTTCGACATTTCTTTTTTTAACAAAAAAAAAAAAAAAATTTTTCATAAACTCAAAAACAATCAAAAATTTACCCAAAAAAAAAAAAAACACGAATTTTCAAGATTTTTGAAAAAAAAAAATGAAATGGAAAAATATTTTCGTCATTTTTTTTCGTCTTCAGAGTTCAAATCTATTTTTAAAATTAAGAAAACAAAAAGTATTTTTTTTTCTCATTATTTTTTTTATATAAATATTTCAATTCTATTCTGTTGTCATAATATGCTTAAAAATAAAACACACAAAAAAACAAAACAAAAAACACACTTATTTTTGAACTCATTATGGAAAAATCGACAAGTTTTCAGCCAAAAATTTGGATAACGTGTTAAAAAATTTTATTTTATTAAACAAAAAAAAAACTATACATACATACATACATACATACATTTTCTATAACTATATTTCAATAAAATTTTTGCAAAAATTTTACAGTCTTCAATTATATAGGTCTAATTCATTGTACTATGATCGTACATAATCCAAAAAAGATTCTTTTTCGATTTTAAAATAAACAAATACGCAAAAAATTTATGATGTCATTTCGTTCACGACTTATGGAAACAATACAAAACCCAACAGAAATAAAAAAAAATATAATATTAATAAAGAGTAATAATTTTTAACATTAAAACGGTGAATTCTCTTTTTCAAAACTGAAATAAACATATGAGACAATTAAATATTAAGACGGGTTTATTCGCCAATCAAAAATTTACATTAATTATTAAACATATTGCTTCGAACACCTATCTGTCAAATTTTAACTTCCATTTTAAAAAGAAGATATTTTTTGAAATGATGAATGAAAAATGAATCTAAATCTAACTGCACAAGGTTGGCTTTTTCCCGGGGCAACTGAAGCCCTTAAACGTCGAAGCTTAGGATCCTTTGTGATTCGCGTCCCCACCATATCAGCTTTATACCCATGACAAATCGCAGTATATCAATCACTTCAAGCCGCGATCTCGGAACTACAAAGACCCCTCCCTCCTCCCCCCCGTTAAGCATCCAAGTCACTGGCAAGCAACCGTCTCGTATTCACACACTAAGTGCTCGATCGTTTCATTCTCTTCCAAGCACAAACGGCAGATTCCGTCCTCTGCTCTGCCCATCCTCACAAGGTATGTTATTTATATCTCAGGACAAATCCGTGTCACAACACATTATACGAGTACTTAGTAACATTTATCAGATAAGTATTCGAATAACAAATTTTGGTTTTAATCAGAGCAAATATCAATATCCCAAATTCCTTGTAATCATGCAAATTTAAAGTTCAATTAAATTATTCTGTTATACTGGTTTTCATTTTTATAGAATTCCAATAATTATCAAATTATTAATTGCCCGTTATACAATGATCTATTATAATGAGATCTTAATTATCACACTCTTTCCGCATTATTAAACTTATTCAACAATTTCTACGTTAAGTATTAAAATAAATAAATATGTAATTATATTTCAAATAATTTTTAAAATATTTTAATAATTTCTTTTAATTAATACTCGTATAATAATTTAATTTGTACAAATTTAAAAAAAAAAATAAAAACACCTACAAATAAATTTTGCAACAAATTCCAAAAATAAACAAATATTTAAAAAAAAATATTTTAGAAAACCAAAAAAAAATAAAATAGAAAACAAAAATAACATGAAACTATTTTGTTGACAAAATTTCAATTTTTTTTTTTCTTTTGATCATTATCATCATCAAAATAACATTAACACTATGTACACTATATATCTACATATAAAATCTTATAATAATAATAATAATATTCAAAAAGATCATTGACATTTTACACGAACATGTACATAGCATAAAATAGTTATAAACAATTTATATAAATAAACTTATAAATGTTATACATAGTATAAGTATAGGCGCAAAAATGACAATA